TGGTAACAGGTTCCATAGATACAAGACAACTGTTATTAGGCAGTCGATTGTGCGGTTCTTTTGACTTTGCTATGAAGATAACTTACAGTATAAGTTGTAAAACGCAGGCAAGATTACATGTGGTTTAGAGATGATAAAGATAGATAGCAAAACAATGAATATGCAATAGTTAAGAATTGTAAAATTTTCAGGGTAAGAAAACGAAACATTGAGCGACTCACAAGGATTTAGGATATTATGAGCATTTTGTGATCGGCCACAGTTGATCAGCATCCATGAGATTAGTTAGTCATCTGCCCTGGCAGAAATATATTATTATTACTTGTAATAGGAAAAGAGAACATGACACTTAAGAAGAATAATGCTATTTCAACCACTAGAGAGATTCAGAACCTGAAAGTGAGGAATAGGAGCGTAAGTGCATAACTAATAATAAATTAATAATGAGAGAGGGTAAACCGTATGTTCTGTCATTTGGTTGTATTCATATTATTGACAATTGGGGTCCGTTATATTCATGATCAGTCTAGATGTTAGGCAGTTCATAATAAAGTGCCTCATTAGTGGGTGGTAGTTCACGGAATAATTGCTGAATTACTTTAGTGTCAAGTAATAGTGTCATTAGTCTTTTGAACTTGATGGTAGTGCCACAGTTATGGATAGGTATTGGCAACCTATTCCATAATAAATTATACCGTACTGTAGAAAACGTAAGACGCAATATTTTTTGGCGTTTTACTGTAAGCAATGTATATATGTTGTTTCTGAATCTGAAGACTGAGTCATGTATCATGGTTAGGTAGAAGGTTCATACATTGATTTATAATGAAAGAGTGAAACCTTCGCGTCTGACGCAAAGTCGGATTGCAGGGATGAAAAGAATTTAGGGAACAAAACTCCACAGCTTGTTAAAACGGGACTCGTTAAGAGGTCAGTCATTTTTCACAAACTAAGTGAATTTTTTGAGGAGAAACGAAACGTTACATTTGAACACGATCTAGGATACATTAAATCCTTAATGTGCAAGCTATTTCCGGAAACAGTAACAGGAGTTAGCATGTATAGGTTTAATAGAATAAGACAAAAAGTGGATTCTGACTATACTTGGGGAATTGGCCTCTTAAAATTTACCTTTGCCTCTGCTGAAGTGCTGATGTGCTGCAGGCTTGAATGTAAGCGGCAAGATAATGAACGTGTAGTACATGACTTTCCCCAAGACCAACTTAAATCCTGAACAAATAGGCGTAAAAGCTTTACTATCGGTGGCCTGGATCCTCCGTCAATAAATTGAAGGTGCTTGGAAGTAAGTCAATTAAAAACGTAGTTCTCTTGCAAACTGTTAGAGACTACAATCACCCGGGCTTTATACAAACATATTGGAGATCCCGCTGGATATGATCTACAAAGCTTCTCTCTCTGGGCCCTAACATAAGGTGATGATGTCAGTCAAATAACTTTCCCTTCAACTATGGAGAGAAGTGATCATGCGATCACATGATTCAAGTTTATGGCTGATATGGTCTGTCAAGCAGTTGCGACAGCCCGTCTTAATACATGGAAGGCAGGCATGAAGGTTGTCTAATCTGCAACCTCGGCTAAAAAATGAAAAATAGTCAAAGGTACATCGATATAAGAGACAAACTCTTATTTCTGGCAGCCATATAATCAAGCAGCTCAAACAATTGTACCGAAAACAGTTCCGAAGGAGAAAAAGCACGGCCATCCCTGGATAAACTGCGATATTTGATGTTTAATAAAACAAAAGAGAAGTGTTGGAACGTCATCATTAGCTTCCGCACAGCGAACGCGATAGAACGCTACAGGTCAGCCCGAAACAAGTATATAAGCACAATCTGATAGCTCGCGGAAAATATGAAGAGTAATTATCACGGTCTGTAATGGAGCAGCCGAAGGACGATTTTCGTGCATAAACTGCGGAACAAGTATGCAGCGTTGGATTCCCGACCTGATTATAGAAAGTGGGTCTCAAACGATAGGGAAATCAGGATAAAGCAGAGGTCATGGCAAACTACTGAGGGAAGTTTTCACCCAAAAGCCTCTTCTGGACGGAGGAATATAGCTAAATAAAAAGTCTATATATCGGCTGCTAACCGTGAACTTTGATAAAGACGACGCACTCAGGACCCTTAGCACCTTAGACACGAAAAGGTTAACAGAACCGGATGGACTACACCCTAAGATTTTGCGACAAATTGCACAATGTATCGTATCCCTATTGACTACGATATTCTAAATGTCGTGTGGCCAAGGTAGATTGTCTATAAACAGAAAGAATGAAGTTGTCACTTCAATACATGTGACAGGATCATGACAACTCCAGTCAGACTACAGGCTTGTCAGCCTCATCAGTATTGTAGTTAAAATACTGGAAAGGATAATCAAAAAGACCACAGTGACACTTGTAAAAATCAACCACTTGTTAAACAACGAACAACAGGGTTCCATGGAAGGATTATCTTGCGCGACAAATCTCTTTTAGCGAAAGGCAATAAATAGAGGCTCCAGATTATGGAAAATCAGCGGATGTTGTCGGCGTGGACTACAGCAAAGCATTTGACAAGGTGCCGCTAAATAGACTACTCCTGAGGCTAGAAAATATAGGCACTACAAACCTCTCCAGAAATGGATTAACGATTTCTTAATAGGTCGCAGACAGAAAGTAAGAATAAATTCCAAACGCTTCTATTGGAAATCAGCACTTAATGGAATATCTCAAGGCTTTGTCCTTTATATTTTATACTATGTTTCAGTGAACACCCAAGTATAGTCCAGTTCCTGATGCTACTGTACACCGATGATGTTGTAGTGATCTACTTTTATGAAGAGAACGAGATTGGTGTAATAGAAACATCTATTATTATAATCAACTGTACCACTGATTGAATTACTTTACCTTTTCGTTTAATTGTACCAAAAACAGACTTTTTTTAACTGTTTATAACCTTGAATGTACGAGCAGTAATCTCTATTGTGAACTTTGGCACGATTTCGGTATTAGTTCAATACCACGAGATCACTAAGAGATATGTCCTAACTGAAATCTATAACTGTCCTTCTAATATTTATCCTACGGAGGGATTTAACCTGTCAACTGAGACTCGTCACTACCATAATGTAAATATCTGGCGGTAAATAACAGGATACTCAGCTGTATGTGCATTTCAGGCGGACTTGGTCGTTCTGTTTAGCTGGTTTAAAAAATTGCTGATGCTTATAAATGCGGCCAAGTGTATCTATATGCATTTAGGGGATACAAAAGTTAAATAGGTACAGAATAGGGAAGTGCCTGTATTCGTTGTCCACTCTCACAAGGGTCTTGGAGTGACTGTGAGCTATGATCTTGAGACCACGACTCACTGAACTTAGGTCTCAGCTAAGGAGATTAGAACCCTGTGGTGACCTACTTTTATTAACATAACGCGACTGGTGTAATGGAAGTAATTACTATTATAACCAATCGTACCAAGGATTGTTTCACTGTACTTGCTTGTCTAAATGTACTAAGAATAAACATTCTTCCGTTTCTTGTAACCTTGCACGAATTCGGTTACGCTCAGTAACCACACTTGGACTCCCTTGGCACGATCTCGATATTCTTTCGATACCACGAGATCGCCAACGAATACATCTCGACTACAGCCATCAACTGCCTTCTGACATTTGGCCTACGGGGAATCTTATCGGTTAACTGGCAAGTAGTCTTCCTGTAGTGGTGATCATAGTCAATCGCAACTCGACGCCACACTACAACCCTATGGGCTTTAAGACGGACATTCACGATGTTAGATACTAATATATTCACCACGGTATACACAAGCTAAGTGAGATCTAAACTTGTAAGTTTTGTTTAGACCACGGAAAAAATACAGAGTGTACCTACCAATGAAATTCAACAACACCGGGGTTTACTATACAAAGAGGGGCCTGAAAAGCTGCAGCTCTTTACTCAGTCCTAGAACAGATTAAGAGGTGATCTGATTTTTATGCATAGACCACTAACACAGATGACCTGAGTTGAATGACTGAGGGCCTACTGGAGATGGACGAGGGTGGTGTGACGAACCAGCTAACTTTGAAGTCACACCTCGCAGTCAGTATCTAACTTGGATTACCCTTTCGTCGTACCAAGGTACTATGGCTGCTCTGAAAACCGTATTGCACTGTAGCGGTAAAAAATTCCCCAAAATAAATAGCTCTGTAAGTTTTCGACATTGGATGCTGGCCACATTAGTTTTATTAGACTCACCTAGCTGAAGGTGCTCGGTCATGCATCTGCACCAGATCACGAGTGTGAACTCCGTGCTCAACAACCCCTGCAATCGCTAGCTAGATTAGATCAGACGATCCTCGATATATTGATAGCCCATCAGATATATCTTCGAACCTCCTCGCTTCTGACTTTGATTTCACTTGATGGGTGCGATTCGTACTAGGTGTTACTTTTAAAGCGTTGTCAAACTCCGAATACCTGTGGCATCTTCAATACTAAGGACGTTATTGTAGAAATATATTGGTAAAAGTGGGTACAACTAAGAGATTGCGATGAAAACCGCATGAGCCAGTCAATAGAGTGCGTTGGTTGTCCTTGAATTTGATTAGGATTCGTGAATTTTTCGATATTGAGTGACCTAACTGTCGAATGATTTGGCTAGGGTCCAGTGGCATTTCATTGGCTCTACAGATGTATGGTATGATAAGAAATGATTTTGGACCAAATGCATCTTCTCTTTTTCTTTCTACAAGATTGGAACAACTCAGAGGACATATAAGTAGAGTGGAAAAGCCAAGAGCGAACAAAATACCCATGGCAAACAGGTCCTCACTCAGAGTCAGCAATTCTTGGAACCTGTTGCTGGAAGCAGTGGCGGCCCCATCTTTAATTGCATTTTCAAAGCGAAGACTGGACACTCACATAAGCTTACTAGGAAAAGATTTACATAGGGTGTAGACCTTCTGTTCTTATACACGAATCTGAAAGTCTGAAGGTCAATCGTGCAAATGACCTACAGTCGGCCTGCGGTACTGTTTTGAGCTGGGTGGGTGAAGATGCTGAAATAGTGTATCGCATAGGTATTTTCACGTTCGCCTATTGTATGGCCGGTTGTACTGAGTCAGAACACCAAGATTTGGAGCGTGAATAGGATGTTTTTGAAGTTGTGGGAAAGCTTGCCCATAAACCCAGACAACCCAAAAAGCGGAAATAAAGGCGAAGAAAGGGGAAATAAAGGGGTTAATGCTTCGGTAGCGAAAGGGGAAATAAAGGGGAAAACGCATCAGAATTTCGCCTTTTTCGCCTGTCCGGGGGAAATAATGCGGATTTTCCCCTTTTTCGCCTTTTTGTCGACAAATTACCGAGTTATCGCCTAAATATCCGCCGAATTGCCGCATTTTCGCCTAAATATCCGCCGAATTGCCGCATTTTCGCCTAAATATCCGCCGAATTGCCGCATTTTCGCCTAAATATCCGCCGAATTGCCGCATTTTCGCCTAAATATCCGCCGAATTGCCGCATTTTCGCCTAAATATCCGCCGAATTGCCGCATTTTCGCCTAAATATCCGCCGAATTGCGCTTTTGCCTAAATATCCGCCGACGATTTTCGCCTAATATCCCCGAATTCGCATTGTCGCATTTTCGCCTAAATATCCGCCGAATTGTCGCATTTTCGCCTAAATATCCGCCGAATTGCCTACTTATGCGCTTAATTGTCTACTTTTAGCCTAAATACACACATTACCTTCTATTGTCTATCCATCGACAGAACCTTAAAGGTCTCCTATGTCCGCCTTTATTTGCAACAACATACCGAAGTATATCTGCAATGCAGTGGAAAAGCAGTAAATATTTTAAAAATTTTATTTAAAAAGAAAAGCGTATTATTGTACAACAGTAAAGCACAAGCTTAAGCATCGATTGTTATGCATATCCAATGCAATTGCTAATTCATTGTTATTTGTAATTATCTGAAAAACAAGGAACAGGTTATATTTTATTCATAGGGAATGTGCATTTAATCAAAAGTTCACTGAAACTCAGACACACATTCTCAACACTTCAACAGTTTCCCATGTAAGTAAAAGAGTAAGCTGTTTGAAAGAATAATGTTTATTGAAATCGAGGTAGAACAACAAAAAAATTGCACGGACTATTCAGAATTGAGGTAGTCCTCCTGTGAATTCTGAAATAAAAAAACGAACAAAAAAAGTCACAACCATATCTCAATGACATGCTTTTGCACAGCTAAATACTTGAAGCTGAACTTACGGTTATGTTCGTTAGTATTGTTGACTGTAACTATAGAGCCGTAGGGAAGTTATCACTTTAAATTAGTACATACCGGATTTTCTTTTTTTCTATTTCGTTTAATCATCTTGTCTCGGATGTCGTGAAAGTAACCTTGTGTCGCTATGTCGTACAGCTTACCAAGGTCTTTCTCGTTGACAGAGGATGACAAAAAGCGATGAGTTAAGGCACCTGAAGTTTAAGTAATAGATATAGGTTACTTCGTATGCAGCTGTAAAACGTGCATTTCTGTAGTGCTCGTTTTGAAGAGGTGCCAAGTAACGTGAATTTACTGGCAACCTCCGGTGTCAGCAGATGCGACAGAACAAAACGCATGGACGTTTTTGGATCGTCACCTGATAACCTAGTGACCATTGCCATCTGTAATAGTAACAAATTATCAAATTCATGTAAATGACTTACAAATCTGTCCCTGGTTTCTTTCTGCGACAAACCAGTATCTAGCATCTGTAGTTCCTCTTCAGATGACAAAGGGAACTGCTGACTTGACAGTCCGCAATCGAATTGATGCGGTCTTTCGCGCTCATTAGACTTTGAAAGCAATTGGTTAACATTAGACTAAGTTTTCACACCCATAACACCATTTGTATTCATTCAGGAAGTTTACTAAATCTATTTTGGCGGTTTCTACAACACTTTTATGTAATTGTGGATGTGCAAGCAGATACATGGATAACGCTAAACGCCGAAAATTAAGATAAAAAGGTTGTGGCAATGTTTTTTCAAGAATCACCGGGCCTAAATACAGAAGGAACAATCTACATTCAGAAGCTTTCCATGCCGATACAAAGTCTAGTGTGCGGCATTTACGATTATAAGTGGTTCTGTGACAACCAAGGGAACGTGACAAGTTCACAGTTGCCCTACGTCTACGAACATTCTCACTGATATCAGAAAAAGTCATATTATTGGCCTAAGAAGGTAATCAGTCACAATAAACCTAAAGTCCTGAGAGCACGTCACTCACCTGCATCACGCAAGTTTTTTGTGATGGCTCCAAAGCATGTCGGAACACTTTAACTAAACAACAAACGAAGTCAGTCTATGTGCGTATCAACCGAAAGCCTGGTTCCGTATTTTGTACATTGTTTTTATGAAAATACTTTTGTTTTTTTAATTTGCGGTGAATAAATTTGTCGAAGTTTATGAAAACTTCAGTTCCAGATGCGGTTCATTCAAACACTGTACGTTACGTAGAACTGTCGACAAATTTCCCCCAAATACACGACGTAAGGGGGAAAAAGCGACATTTCCCCTAAATAACCGACGTAAAGGCGAAAAAGCGATATTTCCCCTTTATTTCCCCTTTCGTCCGCTTTATTTCCCCTTTTTTCCCCTTTTTGTGTTGCTTGGGAAGTGCCTAAAGCTTCTTGTAGTTTTCTTAAAATGTCCGTAAAGTTCAACTACATCGACTAAGAGTTATTTTTTCCAGCTTTAGTATTGCGCTGTGCGAAGTTGTTTCTCGAGATGTTGACGGAGACTAAAAGTCAGTATGTCCCAAATATCTTGCCATAGTATATCCTTTTCATCTCCGTTAATTTATTTCCTGTCAATCCAAGATCTTAAATAATTAATTCTGGATAATCGTCCTGGGGTCTCACTTATTTCTACTGTTTTCTGTACTATAGGTTAATCATTTGACCACATGTTCAACTGCTGATCAAATTCATAAATACAATATAAATTGGGGTTTATTTAGTATATAATTGTCTTTTGGCTTGCAAACAGGTCAGTTTAACTGATCGATGTAGTGCAACTGACCGGAAATCCAAATTCAATACAAAACCGTTGGGAACGTAGTGAAACAGTGCAAAAGTGGTCTGAAATTAAATAGCTTCATACCTGTGGTTTACACAATTTTCCCGTAGTTTTTGTAATATTCCAATCTAATTTCGGAGACCCATAATGCTACTTACACATTACCGAAACTTAACACAACCAACACATGACATTCAGTCGATCTTTATCAGCCGAAAACCTAGCAAGGATGAGCATCCAAGTCCTCACACCTCGTAGTAAAGGAGAGGGTAGGAAATCACTATCAAAAACCAAAGAAGTTAGTTTCAACTTTCATGGAAACCTAGGGCTAGGAACTACGGTTCAGAACGAACAAGCAAGACTGAAGAATGAGAAGTTAGGAATGGTATTGAATTTTAAAGCTGGCGGAAAGCAAGGGATTGACGCAACTAGATCACTGTAACTGATTCCGAGCAATCCTACTTAGCTTCTCTTACCAAGCAAAAATTATAGAAAGTCGACTGACCTATACTATACTTTTGAATTGGCGTGGAAACAAATGTTTAGACTGAGAACGTTAACAGTGGGGATTGGTTCTCATTAAAAATTCCGTTAGAGGACTATGTCGTTGTGGGAAACAAACCTTGTACCTTCAAGTATTTGATCTCGGTATATGAGCTCCATCAGGCGGATACTTCCAAGCAAAAAATATAGCCACATAATAGCGGAGTAGCCGTACTGTTTCCAAAGCACAAACATAAAGTCATGTCACTGTAAAATACAGAAAAGGTATAAGTCGAATATGATCACTCTAGTTACCATACTGCAAGGTGGTTATAGGATATTTGGAAATGAACTAATTTCTGGGGTCCCGTCTCTTGGATGTGAAACTAAATAACATGTTAATGTCGCTAGTAGTCTTCCAAACACAGTAAGACTTGAATCACTTTGGAACAAATGATGTGATTAACTGTGGTCTTTAATTTGTGATCAGTGTGTTTCACTACTCCCTCAAAGACTAAAAGTCGGGTCATTCAACCAGAGGAGGATCGGACCATGATAAAGCTTGACCAAGAGGTTGCACCATTTCACTTTACATTGAGTAACAACGCGGATGGCCTGTACTAACTCAAAAGTTGCACTGTTATAACTCACAGGATCAATATTCATCATATATTTACACCCAGTATCGTAGACTAAAGGGTGATTGCATCCTTCCACTCTCAAATGTTTGTATCAGTTCACTGGCACATAAAATAATATCCCCAACAACAAAATGATTATGTCTGGTAGTCTTGATATTATTCGTGAATGAAGAGCATCTAGGTCTTCCATGTTTAAGGTTTTGAAACTATCATTCGTTCAGTTTTTGTGGACTAATCCTGTCTTTAGGATGCTTTCAGGACATTATCTAAATTTGACGTGATCGCAAATATATCTTTTAAGGGTACTAACTGGAAATCGGGATTAACAAGGTGCATGAAGTCATTTTCTGTGTATCTCTATTAAGAAATGTTTCCAGAGATCCTAAATAGGAGATATTCCAACTGAAATCGTTTTGCTTTCCTGTTAACAAAGACAGCCCACTGTTTGACTTCATAAATTACTCTTTCGTTCTATATCTTTTGTTTTCATTATTTACGAACTCATTCAGTTTACTAACGTCTACAAATGATCTGGTGGGACAACAAAGTTAAAGGTTAAGATAAGACATCGACATTGTTTCAACCATTAGGAATAGAATCGGAAGTTTTAAAATTTGTGTACGTTTTGGAGTTTGTTGCTCCCAAAGTAAATTTAAAGGTACTTCAATAGTCCTCATTGGATTGGTCGGTATTGTGGGAAAGGATCGTAGTATCTCTAGATTTAAAATGACGTTTTAGCCATTATCGATGTGTCATGATAGCCGCTTACCAAAATTTGTACTCTATGGACCTGAAATGTTTATTGAATCACGTTTTTTTACCTTTACGGATAGGTAATTATTTATGAAACAATTTGAGCGATATGTACTTTGAGTAAAATCTTTGCGGTTCACAGTGATCGTAATCATTGTGGATAAAAATTTTAAAAGAACTTTCTATTCTTCAAATATGTTTAGAACATTAAGCTTTATTGGAAAAAATTGTACTGGAAGGAAACGAAACGGGAATAATATTGACTTGATTTTATCACAGCTGACTATAAACATCTCATCATTAGGTTAAAGTACCCAACCAGGATTAGAATTTATAGAAGCAAAATTCTGTTGATGAACATCCGTTTGCAGAATGTGCTCAAAACTCTCAACACATAGATTTGTTAGACAGTCAGTCAGTCTAAAAATAGCTATGCCGATCAATAGTATTTCATTTTTATGTATCATTATTTGTAGTGACTTAACAATGTGCATGTATACAATGATTTAATTGTATCATCAATAAAAAAATGTCATTGATTCCAAATACAATTGACCTTGGACAGTGATTTCTTTATATCCATACATATTCGTGCAAAACATGATTTGTTTATTGATCCGTATATATGTATATGATAAACATAAATAAATCATTTTTTTGATTGATGCACACACTTTGGCGATATACGCTAAATCAATTAAACTAGCGATTATTAGTAGTTAATCAGTTTTCAGAATAGCTTGACCATTCATTCATCCATATGATGTTGCTTAATTGTTGTATTGTTAAAAAATCTAATCTCTTCAAAAATATTATTCATACTAAACGTTATGGCAAGTCTTACATGTTAATCGTCCTTTTGTATAGTGGAAGAACTTTTAAAAGTATATATGTCGACATATTATGCTCTGTATTTTCGATTATCTTTTAAATAATTAAAGTTTTTCATATTTCGTTTTTGGGGTAATCATAAAGCAATGTCTGCTGATATGAAAACTGTTCTGGCTTCCAAACATTACGGTTTTATGGGATCTGGTAATATGTCTCAAGCATTGGTCAAAGGTTTTCTAGCCTCAAGTACGTTTTTTATTTACTTTTATTATGTCTTTTTTTACATATCAATAATTTGACGTAGTTCTGTAAGCTCTGTATTTTCTTTTTGTTCGGTTATTTGATATAGTTTATTTTGCTTTCATACGAGGATAAGATTACTAACATGCGATTTTTAGATAAAATTAACCTTTAGACTAATTGCCGAGTCTGTTCCGAAACCATCTGTTTTCTTGACTGTGAACTGTTAGTTTGTTCCCAGTAGTTATGAATGCTCTATTTCATATTGTCTGGTTATTTTCTTGCACTTTATGTATTTTGTTCTTGTTCGAAGATCAAAGTGTGTGTGTTTAGAAAATATTTACTTTGGATGTCCTGATTGTCAAAATAATCAGGCCATATGAAGTGGTTTAATTTGGTGAAGACGGTGACTAAATGCAGTTTTATGATCACCTTAAGCAACAATGGAAGCGTGTTTGGGATGCGGTTCTCTCTCTCCAAATGTAAAATGTTACTTCAGGATTGGGTCGCATCATCGGATGAGCTGTTGATAAGAAATGGAGTAGTTGGATGCATCGATTTCTCCTCTTATCTTGGGAGTCTCGTCAGTGCTGGTGGTCTGGTGTTTGACGAAATCTCAACGTAGATTCAGAACGCTCGACTGGCTTTTGCTGAGTCGAGTCACTTGTGGTGTAGGCAACATATCCGTCTGCCAACCAATAGATGAGTTTCCTGTGCAGCAGTTCTCTCCGTTCTACTTTATGGGTGTGGAACATGGCCATTCAGAAGAGAATATTCATAGGTCACTGGTATCCAGTCATAGGTGTCTTTGAAACATCGTCCGTGTACTTTGGGAACACGGAGTAAGGAGTGCCTGGGCTAGGAATAAAGTCTAAGTTAAGGATGGCAAATAGATTGAAGAGGTAGCAAATCTTCATCAACTGAGGTGTTTGGGACATGTCTTACGTATTTCCAACCACCGCCTAACTTGACGGGTAACTTTTGTGGCGTAGGAGTTGGTTAAAGGAAGCTAGGGGTGGCCAAACCAAAATATGTCATCAATCCATGACGTCAATGACAATTGGACTTAGCCGTGCTAATAGATGTAGACTATCTGATTGGGATCGGCGTGATTGTCGTAACCATTGGTCATATACTTTGAATGACATGGCTCAAAATCGTTTGTAATGGAGTAGGTGAATTTGTTCTTTGTCTTTCTCCAAACTCTTAGATTCTAAATTCCCCATAACCTTTATTTATTTTCATTTCACTAATTCATGTTTTCTCGAGTCATATCTTCGATGTCTCTACTATTCTGAGATTTGATCTGACAATTTCATTTCTCTGTGCTAATGGGGTATGACAACTCGAACTGATGTACGTACGTACCAGGATCTACGTTGTGACGATTGTTCACAAATGGGAGATATCTTCCTTGTTTTCTCACTTAGCCCTCGGCATTCCAGCGGGAGAAGTTATATGTTGAGTAGAATTATTTATTAGATTGACCGGAGAATATTGATCAGTTGTATAGTTATTTGTGTATAATGAAATTTACAGTATTTTAGAAATAAGGTGGCAAAATGGTATACTAAAACAAACGAAAAAGCTGAATACTACCAATAAACCTTAAACTTGAACCCCATCAACTGCTTGTGGGTATAATCGTTTTATGACTTAAAGTAGATTGGTGGTTTGACCGTAAAATCAATTGGCTACCAACTACTAAGTTATGGGTTTAGACCGTACCCCACCCTCATTTAGGTAATTAGATAGAATCACTAGCTCTCACACAGAATATGATTGAACACTGAGCACACGAACTTAGTTGCTAAGTTACTTTAATTAATTGTGATTAAAAATGTTTTCTCATGAAAAATTAACAGTACACAGAAAAGACGAATAAAAGGTTATTTCATCAATTCAGAAATAATATTAGTCACATTTTTCCTCAGTAAATTTGTACGAAGTACCCATTTCTTCAGATATTTGTATTCAGTTACACTGATCACATAATTTACAAGAGGAATATAAAACATCCTATTAAATAAATTAATGGCTGATACGTTGGATTAAGAGGGTTTTTCTACTTGTGTTTTGTAAAGTGATTCTATTACTAGTCATCGTCAGATTTTTTAATAACAAACTTGTTACATTTTCAAGTCCTTGTACTCTATTATAAGTTTTGTGTACAATAATTTTTCGTAATATTCTTTTTTCTGAAATTACAGATGTAGTCACTGGTTCGCAAGTTACAATGACTGATCGGTATGGTTTATCATTTCCAGATGCAGAGGTATACTTTGTGTACAATATCATTCTTGTATATTTTGAAGATAACACTTTGTTAGATTAATTTATCCTTAAAGTGTAGATAACTTGTGTTTTTGATGTAGACCAATTTATTTTGTAGCTTATTTCCATTGATAAAATTGTTTCAATTCAACAAAACAAACTATTAAACTTATTATTTATGTGGTTTAATAGTATGCTTTGTTTTAATTTGTGTTATTTTTCGCGAGACTAACTAATAGTGGATTTCAGATAGTTATTTTACATCCCTTTCTGATACTTGTTGACTAAATGTGTACATATTTAATGTTTTATTCAAGAACTATTTACAGTGAAGATACATACAAACATTAATTCTATTTTTAATACCTTTGGTTAATAGGTTGAATTGTAACAATGAACGCCTTCAGGTAGTAATAGATTGTCAAATCTAGTAAGATCCCGAACAAGCGATTTCCAGCTTACTTTCCCAGTGACCATTTTCTGTACCAACTAAAATGAGAAATGCTGTTTGTTCTGTTCACACAACAGTTAAGTACAACACTTAGTTATATGTAGGGTAGTGGTTAGAGGTAGTCGATAGCAAACCCTGGACCTAGGTTTCGTGCTATTCGGCACTTGTTAGCAAGGTGTACCTTTAATCTTGAGGGGTTTGATGCTCCCTGGCGGACTCAAACCCAATGCCTACATTGCAATCTGGTCAGTAGAATTCGATTTGCACTAAGAAGGACTTGACACACATGACCCTGGTCACTATCCAGTGATCAATCGATTGCGAATACTTAATGATATGACTTCATGAAGTAGAAAATCAGCGAAGATTTTGGCGAGACTACAATTTATGAAAGAAGCAATCAGATTTAGAATAACAAGTCTTGAATTTTGGCGCGAAATTCATCCACCCATTTGTCTAAATAGCGTTTTGGCACTTTAGCTAATGTGAGTTCGTGATGAAAAATCATAAATCTAATTCCTAACTATCAACTGTGAATCATAATCCTTATTCTTTAAACTAATTTACAACCTTCATTTACCCTTAGTAAGTAGGTAGACATTCTCAAGGTCACTTTGGCGTCACTCAAATGTCGTCTATAAGTCATAGTCTCATCGAAATTTTCTGTCAATACAGCTATAGGGAATCTATTAAGGGAAACCTAAAAGTATCGAAAACGTGATAGACGCAACAATGTACAACATAAATTCTCAAAACAATAATCGTTTGAATCCTCAATATTTTGATAAAACAGTCAATGAGGTCTTTTTCTAGCATTTATTTGCCTCTTGAGTTTTGGTTTCATTACTCAAGAGAACACAGGATTCTTCTTGCTATTTCTCCTCAGCTTGATCTGTCCATTTTACCGTGAATAACTCTTCATTTTTTATGCTCATTCGCATAAAGATAAATGTGTTAAGCACAGACTCATTAGTCAGAACACTCGACTTTCAATCACTAAATAACAAGTTGTAATCTATTTTTATCTAGTTTAGTTCAAGCAACCAGCTCGAAACGTTAATGCTCAGCCATAAAGTGTGGACCGAAAACGAGTAGGTAAACCTATACTTGTTTACTAGATTTTATCGATTGGTTATTGGTAATGTTCATTACCTTCTTAATAAATGCTGAAAATGTCAGTCAAAAAGTAAGAATCACTGCAAATCCTCTTTAGTGAATTACTGTGACTACTGGAATTCAGCTGAGATGTTGAAATACATCAGTAACTATTAGAAAGATCTTTGTCTACTTAAAACTGTAAAAGAATCAATCCTATAGAAAAAGCGAAACAATTGCCAGTTTTTTTTCTTATAAAATATAGGTAACGAGCAAACACAATTTGAAGTTATTTACCATATAAACATTTGAGGGCTTACAGTTACTTAAACTCACCTGTTACCTGTTCACAGAGTTATAGTGTGAATTAGTATGAGTATATTGTACGTTGGTCTTCATCATTTCACTTTGTTATAATTGTTTTACAGGTATTTTGTTAACAATATTTAAAAAATGTATTTAGTGATTAGATCCAAAATATAGTATAATATTGGTTTATGTTCTATGATCTACAAGAATTCATTATATCTTTAGTTCACTGTTTAATTGTTGTCATAAATGACGAGAAAAGAATGCAAATGGTTCACACTGCTTAATTCTTCAATTGATATATTTCTGGTGCAATATATCTACTACAGTTCTTTATGCTTTATACTGCATTATCTGAGCAAATCTTGATAGAGCTGACTGGGAAATATCCTACGTCCTACGGATCGATCCTGTTGATATCAAACTTTAATCTGAGTATTATGTAAGGCGTAAATTGAAAAAAAGTTAAAGGGATTTTCCCACTGTATTCTCTGACTACGCTGCAAATCGATTAAATAATGATTTTTATTCTGTTTAGGGAAATAGGTTGACTTATAGAAATCAAGCACATGATAATTCCTTCCAAAAATGGTAAATGCTTGTGTACTGTTGTTAAAGTAAGTAGAAATACTAACCGTATTAATTAATGGTTCTGTGTTCAATCGAAGCGATCTGTTTTTGTTTTTGAGTTTTCTTTAGACCTAACTATTAACATTGTTACTTTCTTTGCAAAGCAAGCATTAATTGCTTGATTACCGATGAACGGATGTAAAGACATCTCTTTGGAGATGGTCGGCTTTACATCAATATTTCTAATCCTTTTTATGTATTGCCATGCGTAGTTAACCTTGATTGCTCATAATAACAGCTTAATATTTGAGTTCAATACTGTCTTAGTTTGTTTTGATTCCCTATATTTGTTTTCTATGCACATTTGTTTAGTTTCTGATACCGCTGAAATCTCTATGTTCTGTAAGTTAGAAATGGCGTGGTGTGATTATATATCAGTATTTTTACTAAAAATTTGCAAACTACTGATTTCATTTTAGTAGAGTAATGTAATTGTTTGCTATTTTACCAATAATTAAGCTTTTATGTGCTAACGCTAAAATTCACATTGTTTTAAGGAGCTAACTACTGGTTTTTAAGGTGGTCGATTGTCCTTGACATGGAACTCAGCTCTCAAACCTTTTACTCCCGAAAATATTGTTACTTTATCGAAATAGTTGTAAATGGTATTGGCAATTGGTGTTGAAATGTGAGTTGTATCGCAAACATCTATATCTAACACCACCGTACTCCTTTTACCCGTATCATGTGTCAGGTATATGTTTCATGGTTTGAGATAACTGTCAAGACTTTGAGCTAATTTACTTTGTTCTTAGGTTGTTATTTATCGCTTATAGAATGATAGCTGGCTTCCACTAATATGTGGTGTTGCCAAGTTGTGTAATTTGAAATAATTGACTCGTTATTCACATTCAAGCACATTGTCAGAAGAAAAATTAATTTCATTGCACTAAAAGTTTTTAAATAATATTTAGTAAAACAATTATCAAGAATTAGAGAGTTAAAGATTTTACGACTAACGTTAGCTGTTTTCGTCCAAAGGCAATCTAATCTGTGACTCAAATAGTTTAGTTCAAGTGTTAAAGTTGTCATAACATTTACAATTAATCATCTACCAATACGACTGGGTGGTTACCTCTTAAGAATAAACGTCCTTCCCTCTCATGCTTACCAAGCAACATTATGGTCACCGTTTTCATAGGTAGAACCAAACATATCTGTCTCTTCTATGTTGTCATGATGCTAAAATTAAAAAGGAGGGAATATTTTATGTCATAACTTGAAACGCCGGTTGGTATTACGTGTTTAATTCACCAATCAGAATTTTAATTGAATATTTCCTATTTCACGTCTACCATTCCGTTCATAATCTGACCCCTTAGACGACTAATTATATGTCCTAACCTGCATAGTTAACCTTAAAACCCATCCGAACTAAGCTTTTATTAGTGGCTATCTGCAAGCTTTTCCATATCGTTTATCTTGAGTTTGAAGAGTGTTCAGCAGCCAGCTTCTACTAAATTATATTTCCAAGCACACGTAGGTTTATATGTAAATATACTGGACCACATCACACCATAAATTGAAAAATCACAATGAATCATCAATAAGCCAGAAGTCGCTTCGAATATGTTAAGCTGTAAATAATTCATTGGCAATAAATTAGGAATAAGAAGTAGTATAATTAATGGATTAAACAAGAGCTTATGACAGACTGAATATATAAACATTGTAATTCTGTCGTTTAGTGATTATACAATAAAAATGTAAATAATAGTAATCCATAAAATAGTTCCGGGAGTGAACATTTCTTCAATCTTCGTTCTGATACATTTTATTACCAAATAGAATTGTATGTTCAGTTTATACTGTTTATTACCTTCAAGGTTCATTTGCATGATTTTCGATAAGAAACTGTAACATCTATAGCTAATCCATTCAGAACTGAAATGATTACGCATCGACAATAATTACACTATCACGAAATCATTTTTTCCTATCAGAGTTGTTTTTTCGCATTCTATCAAACAATTGATTTCTGGTGATTTCGTTGTTTCTTTTCTAATCTGATATTTAAAAAAAGCATAAATAACTTATTGTATTGATCAAATTAAACAAAGTTTTCTGCTTTCGTTTTTCAATTACACAAGTAAATTGAATCTCAGTTCTTTGTTTATTGCTGTATTACCAAATATATGAATGAACAAATCTTTGATTATTAATCTTTAATTAGCATGTGGTTATTGTCTTATTTTTATGGGGGATTTGATCATCAGCTTTTTAGTAGCTTTGCTTTCATTTGTTTTTCTTTAAAGAAAAGCCATTATTATAATGTTTTTGTTGTATTAAAAAAAGTGGTGTGTATGTAAATTTTTGAACATAGAATGATCGTTAATCCTTTTTTTGGTAGATTGACGTATTTTCGGAATGAGCTAAATTACATAATACCTTGTTGCACAGTGTATTACGTTAATTCTTGCGAAAACGCAAGTGAACATTCTTGCACTTTTTTGTAAAAAAAATATCAACGTTGAGAGAGAAATTAGTCTTCATCGAGGTCGAAACTTTTGTCTTCTAAGGGTGTATTGTGTTCAGCTTATGAATATGTTGGTGAACATTTTTGATTACAGGTGATTTCAATCATGGTGTAGGTATTGTTGAGGTTGTACACTGTACACTGTCAAAGGTTACAGTACGCGTTAAGATATTTTTAAGTATCGGCTATAAACAACTCACACATGACTGAATACTTATCTTTGTTAAAGTACACTGAGGATATCTGACTGTTGGAAAACTAACTTTTCACAACAATACAGAATATATAGTTGGATTTTATAGTTACATGATCATTGTATATAAAAGTTATATCTATTTACAAAACGTGTATATTTATTACGTAAATGTCTGAGAACTGGATTTTATTTATTTATTTATTTGAACACATAAATATTGGTACAAGAGAGCGCCAATATATATGCGCCACACAAAACAATGAGAATTCGAAGAGAAAGAAAAAAAGGTAAGGAGCGTGAAAAAAAGAGAACAATAACGAAGAGGTTGGTGTAGGGTGTGTAGTAATAATTAAGGAACGGAAAGGTACAATCAGAAGAAATCTTTCAGTTAAGGGAGACACAACCACTTTTTATGAAGAAAGTAAAAGAAGGTTACCGCAGGATCGCCACTGGCTTCTATTCTGAGCCATATCTGATAACGTCTCTAGCCACTGTGTTGGATCATCTCTCGGACCCCAACCAGAGAGTCGTGAAGGACCGACAGAAGCCAGTCCTTTACAGCTTTCTTTCATACCACGACACCATGTCATGCACTGACCACCTCTCCGCTTTTTCCAACCAGTCCCAGCGTTAGCAAATAATGCCCTATTGGTTGTCCAACCTGCATGAGTGTGCGAACGTTGAAGGCAACCAGTTCGAATGGTGCACGTGGTTTCAGAAAAACTGCTTCAGTATTCATATTCATTGGTAACATACAATTTTCAACCGGACAGTGACTCGAGAACGTTTAGATATAGTTGAATTTCCACCAAAGACGAGCCGCTGTATAAGTATAAAAGAGGGTGAATAATGTGGTAAATAATAATAATAATGAATCATTTGATTGTTATTCGAAGCGAGAAAAGTAGTTTCCATAGATATAGAGAGTTCATCATTTGCGTGTGGGCTGCGATACTGCCCGGGTGCCATCATTTGATGTTATTTGAGGGAAGCTTTTGATTCATGAAGGGTTCACTACACAATGCTTGTATGGACATAGATCGTAAACCTTAAGTCAACAAATACGTTATTCAAAATAACGTACTAGGTAGATTTCAGTTCTATAAAAAGTTAAGCAGTACGATATATTCCATTTCAGTCTCTGTTAGCTGCTTTTTTAATAAATATGAAAAAGAAACAATGTAACGGTATTTCGAGGTTTAGTTGTTTATACAGAAAATGAACAGCTGACTTTTAAAAAAATTAGTTTATTTTGTGATGTATGATTTATTTTCCATTCATCCGTTAGTGACATTCCTGACTGTTGACTAATCCAACTAGACAAAGGAAAAAAACAAGACTGTAGGAAACTGTGTTATCAAAGGTTGATATCTAAGTACATACAAATCGTCACTATTTGTAGGTAATCAGCGTGACCGGAACAGGGAAATGTGGTTGATGACTTTGTCATATGAATAATTCACTGATCGTAACTTACCCACACTTGCATTTGATTTACTAAGCTACCTGGAGACATAATTTAATTCTTCTGGATTTTCTGGATATATCGCTCTTCAGTCTTGGAACGTATGTCCCGCTTTTCATTCAAATGAACTGTTTGATGTAGACAACTTTTGTTTAACTTATCCTAGCTATTGCCTGTTGCATTCCGGACTGATTTTTGCCAGCATAATGTATTCAGTAGACAGTTGATAACTTTCGTCATGATGGCGAAACTAATCTTAGTAGATAACAGTTTACTTATGCTATTGAATTGTCTCATCTTTTTCGAGTAGAAATATGGAGTAGAATATATACAAACAAATGAACCAATGGTTGAAAAAAGTGATGTCGTGTTCGCCTGCGTTAAACCACACATATTACTGCCAGCTCTAAAAAGTCTATCCGATCGTTTAAATGATAAACTTTTGGTTTCTATTGCTGCAGGGATTACACTAGACCAAATACAACAGGTAAGATTTCGAAAAATTCCAGTCTATATAATTTGTAGTTGTCATACTTTACATATTACATTCCTTGTATGATAATTAATAATGTGGCTCATCTTTTGAGTATAGATTTATGTGGTGAACATATGGTGCTATGGTTAGTGACAGCTAGAACAGAAATCAAACTATTGGTTGAAAGTTAAGTCCTTAACTTGCTAAGCCATTACTCTACCTTTGTGCACTTTTAATACATTGTTACATAGATAAACAGATATATAGGACACCGTGAAACCTTATATAAAGGTACACTGGTTTACATTTTCAAAATTTGCAACCATAAGAATAAAGGAGAAACCGATAGAGTGAGATCAAACAGGCGTAGAGTTAGTAATGTATCTAAAATTCAATGGAAATGCATCTGCGCCAACAAGATCTGAATAACTCATTCACTTGGCCAGTATATATCCAGTATTCTGTAGATTTTGATCTTCAAGTAATTGTTTGTTTATTCATCTCATTAAGTCATGCTAATCTCAATAATCCTAATACCAAAAAAGATCGATTACATTAGGATAGAAAAAGCTGTCAGATCACCAATTTCTACAAGTTATCGTTCTGCAGTTGATAAATAATCAATTAACCAAAGTTTAGACGTGGTATGTAGTTTGAAGTAACAGGGGTTACTCAGCGATCAATCTATTTTCATTGATTTTAAGTCAGAAACATTTTGTATACCTTGTCATTATTTACATCAACATGCCTTGCTAGCTGAAGTAGAGTTGGAATAAGGAAAGTCTTAGCATCATCAGATTAGATTATCTCATCAATCGAAAACGCTTCTAACAATTAGTATTAATCCCGTAAAAGAACTACCTGATCAGAAAACAATAAAGGTTAATGCACTTAGTATTGTTTGCTTGAATATTCCCATTGATGTTTAGGACTGCAATTGATCAGTCTCTTATTAGCATATGTGCATACTGTACGTATTGCCTCGATTTTGCCTTAAGTCATTAGCATTATAAGCAAAGATGGTTGGTGGCTATCAGTGGAATTCAAGATTTTGCGAGGCAGCTGACGAGTCCCAAATAGGACGAGACGCGCGTCCTGGATTCTACTGCTAGCCACCATCCATCTTTGCTTATAATACTGTTTAATGTTATGTTTTTTAATTAAGTCGTCTAATCATTAAACTTTCATTATCTCTCTAAATAATATTCTCATCATAGATTGTTAAAAGTAACCATGCACTAAAGGTATAAATAAATGTGAACTTGGCCACTACTCCGTGGTCAATCAATTGTATCTCAATCCCACGAAAGACCAGTCACAGTCCGAATAACTTAGTCATAACGTCTCAGACTATGTATCTGTGTAATATGGGATCGAATCGGCCAGGAAGCATTGGTTCCCTACACCTTATCGCCCTTGCTTTATGAGCAGTACCGAATAGCACGAATTATAAGTTCAAGTTTTCCTGTTGATTATTTCCAAGTATTTGATATCACTAACAGCAATTATTATACTGGTGAAAAATGAAGTATTGTATTTAGGTGAATGATTTATAGAGAACATTAGTTCAATTAGATATTGTTTTGTTGAAAATATAGATCATCAAATGATCTCGTCATCTGTAAAACTGTACTTTGAATTATGTCTACTAACTGCCCGATCACAAGATCACGAGTTTGATTATTTCTCAGTGATACTGACATTTTGTTTCCGTAATCATCAATTGGAGTTAAATTAAAACTAGGTTAACTTTTAATGTGATATCAATGACATTGTTGAACATTAAAACTGGTTACATAAATGCATTTATTTATTTATTTTAACACATAGATATTGGTACAAGGAGGCACCAAATACATATGCGCCACACAAATCTCATTCGATATGTGTGAGGGCTGTGATACTGACCGGGTGCCCAAACCGAAGCAGGTGGTTTTCTTAGGGGGCCACACCCGGAGCCTTCGACCTGAAGGTCTGATCCACAAGGCAGTGGAGCATCGTAATTAGATGCAGTCCCATGGAAGCCGGTGACCAACAATTGGTTCATACGCCATTTGTTCCCTCAGGATACTGGAGCCCATGTGAACCATTTGTTTGGAATCCGGTTAAAGCGCCGGACATTCGCTTTTCGTCCTCTCAATTTCGCAAACAACACCCCCGCCACGAGAAGGCAATGAGTAGGACTTCCCTGGCAGAGGCTATATACGCGTGTCCATGTGAGAGCATTTCGAGAGGGAGAGCGGACTCTCCTCACTCTTGGCCGTACCAGGGCATATATACATATATTCCCATCATAATGATATATATTAGGGGAATAAATTGGGACTGCTTTTTTGTCCATTTATTTTATTTACTAAAACAAGCTTCATTCGCTTTCTCACCATATATTCTATAATATTATATATATATATAATGTTCAGAATACTATGGAAAAATCAATCTATCAAATAGTTTTCTTATAAATGTGTCTAGCTAAAAAAAGGTTCTCATTCATCTTTAACATGTAATTAATAAAATAATAGTTAGTAACAATTATTTTTTCTAAAAAAAATTAAAAAATCTTATTACGTAATAAATGTACTTTAATGATGTGTTATAATAATGATAGTAATAACCAAAAAAAAATATATTTTTTCGATATTTAGTCTTATTAATGAACAATTTCCATGTGATTATTGTTTATAACATACATTATATGTTATTCATAATGCATCATTTACATCATATTGGAAAACTATTGATTTTTTGAATAAAGTATATAAAAGTCAAAACAATAAATGAATTAATATAATTTCTAATATACAAATTTGTATAGTTGTTATGAACGATAATATAGTTGATGGGGGGGGGGAACGACCAACTATATTCTAATATAAAATTACAGAATGTTTTGGTAAAATATGGAAACTATACATTAAACAGTTCATTGACAAATTTCCATTATTTGTTTTTCATATTCTGTACCATTCTTCTGATTCACAATCCTTTTTTATTCCGTCCCTGTTCTCTTCAAGTCACGCCTTATGCCGCCAGGTTTTCCACTTCCGATTGGTGTTACATACTGCTTATGTCGGTCGACATAACTAGCATACACTGCATAATCATTAAGATTCTTTGTTAGATATTTTAAAGTGCACAGCATGGGATTATATTATTATCTACTATCTGATGATTATCACAGTTTACACTATTCTTCTTCAACTTAACAGATACATTCGTCATATTGGGAAGGTAATCAATAAAATTTCACCGTAAAATAGGAAAAACTAAATCATATTCACCAACGTTCAATCGGTATTATGTTCATTAGATCAGCCAAGAATCACGTTTGAAACTTCCTTAAGAATAGTAAGACTCAATAATTATTATCACTAAATCTTACATATGTTGAGGACATATTGTTATCAACTCACAGTTTTAAAAAACCGTACCTGGCACAAACTTAGATCTTTTGAATAAACCCTTGACTTACAGCTGTCTATCTTTTTTAGTTATTCATGGAGAAGGGACATTGTCTAATAATATGCGGAATGGCTAAGTTTAATAAACTAAGTGGCTAATGTGGTTATAAATCTTTCACTTACTTTAGCTCTTTAATTTTTTTTACTTCAGAACTACCCATATTCTTACATGTCGAAAACAAGTAATGGCTAGGTATCCTTTGTCGTAATATCTCAACTAATAATTGTTCAAATTTTCATCAGATTGTTGAATGTTAAGACCGTTACATGTCTTTTATCTCAGAAAAGTCTTAAAATATCGTCTTGCCTGTAGCGCATCATATTTACATCGAAAGTTCTTGGTCTTTATCTTTGCATATATATATATATATATATATATATATATATATATATATATATATATATATATATATATATATCGAGGTAACATAATATCTGAATAATTATTCAGGCCTGTCAAAAGATATCATTAAAGATACCAAATGCGTCAGCATAAAACTGAAAATTTGCAATGATTCTACCGTCAAAAACTGTAATTCCCTTTATCTGTATAGTGACTTTCTTCAACTTGATTTTGTACCGATGAATCTGATAAACTTATTTGTCGTATTTATGGTGGTACAATCGATTTAATAAAACCATTGCAAGCGCGTGTTTCTAACTCGTCATTTATGAACTCAATCAACCCCGAAATTCAAAATTAGTGGATTTAAAAAACAACAACAGAACCATTAGTCAACTGACTAAACAAATTACAGAATTAAAGTATTTATTCATATTTCGAATAATCAGTTAAAATAGTGTGAATCAGTTACTCGTCAGATCACAAATAATTGATGAAGGGTAGAAATAAATGTTATAAAATTATCAGTACGATAGTAATCTTGTTTATCCATGTTTATCGGATACTTACTGCTGACAACTACACTGTCCTAGCATTCCCTCTTCTAATTTAAAGCTGTATTGTTTCTTGTTAGTTAATTATTTTTTAACATAGCTCTTAACAGCCAATTTTATTTAGCCCAGTTTTTTTTATCGTGAAATCTAACGAAAAAAAATATTTTTCCTCTTTTACTTCTCTAAAAATAGTGTGAAAAATGTACTTGTTTTTCTTATTACGTTTTGTCATTTATTTCTATTTCATTTTTTTTGCGTTTTATTTTACACTTATAAACGGTGTTTATTACCAACTTTAATATCTGCGTTTAGTAGTTATGTAAGAGTGGTTGAATGAAAGATTTAATTATCTGGAATTCTAAATTGTTTTGTACAGTAAAATATTAATTCAAGTAACATTTATCATGATTGTTCTAAATACTACAGTTAGTGACAAAGTTATATATATATTTTAAATAAATGATTTCCACTCCTAAAATACCTTTTCATTATATTACATCTTATGAATCTGATTATATTGATATACTTTATAGGCTGTGCCGAAATCTACTCGAATTATCCGTATTATGCCTAATACACCGTGTCTGGTCGGTGTTGGTACTGCAGTGTATGCACATACATCTTCTGTTACTGATGAAGATATTAATTTGATTTCTGCCTTATGTTCATCAATCTTTCCTGTATTTGAAGCTATCCCGGAATCTTTATTTAATGCAGCTGTTGGAGTATCAGGATCATCTCCTGCTTATGTAAGTTTATTCACATAAATGATTTATCTATTCTTTTGAAATACAAAAAAGTATATTAATCACTCAGTAATTAGATTGTTAGTTTCACCTACTCCAATAATACCTTCCACTAACTATAAGATATTGTATATGCCGGCGATCGATTGCTCACTCAAAATTTATCCAATCAAAATACTAGGAAATCGAGCCCGGATACCTTGCATACTTAGTATTAGTCCGTATCATCAAATTCAAGATCTCACATGATTACATGCATAAAGTGCAAGATAACAGCTCTCCATAAAGAATAAATTTCTATAAGTACAGAAGACTAGGACATCTGAAATCGATTTATAGCAAAGTAACTGTACATAAGAACTTTCGTCTAAATTTGGACGAATAGTTTCACAATATTTGGGCGCCGAGTTAATGTGAGACATTAAAGAGGAAGAATGTATTTGTAAAATCTCAGCGGAAGAATTTGAAGTAAATCCAACGTTTCGCCTGGCAATCTGGTCCAAGCTTTTTCAAGGAAAATATAATCAAACAAAAAAATTCTCGAATAACTGTACGTTAAAATGTTAAAATATTTTGTAATAGTTAATCAGCCAAAAGTGATCTTACAATTGCGATGATATAAAATAACTTGAATTAGCTGTTTGGTAATAGAAGATTTGCAAACTAGTTTCACCCCGTTCAATAGTTGTCTGATTTCCACAATTTTTTAAACTTTTTCCTAACAGATTTAAGTCGGTCACGTCAATAGTGTTATGAAATTACTGTAAATGGTCTAACTATGTGATAGCAAGTTTCTAAATAATGTTTGACTGTAGTAATATAAGGGGTAGTTTTCATCAAGAACTGGTGAAGTATATAAAATTATAGGGGACCAAATATACGTTTGATCTTAGTCTGAGACTTTTTAATAGTATACACTCACGGACCCGATATGAAGTTTGATCCACGACTAGTTAGCTTTCATAGTAAACATGATATTTTTCAGCCATTGAGTTGAAATTCGGTAGCCGAGATTCCCCAACTTTAGTTGGTCCGATATATAAATTGACCATTATTCAATCATTGTTAATAAAAGTTATATTTGAAAAAAATAATCGTTCTTTCCAACTTATAGTGGCTGAGTTTTAACACTTCCTGTTAAAAACTAACATATATTTGTGTACCTCCCTAACATATACCAACACTTAATCACTCTCCGTAATAGCTAACACTACTTGTTTACCTTGAGTTATTTTCGAAGAACTTGGGATTTTGTTTTAATACTGATTTACACATTAGACAGAAGATCCCATATTCATCACATATTCGTAACACGATTTTCATTTGTTTTATTATGTATCATTTACAAATAGTTATGAATGATATCATTGTTAAAAGCCATAATCATGTGCTCTTATATGCTTCATTGACTTTTGCAGGTGATATATGTTTACAGTAATAATGAAATTAAATGCTCAGAATAAGTTACTATATATCATATAACAAAGTAGCAAACTAGAAGTGAAAGTAACCGATCACATAGTAGTAATAGGAATAGGAATTGCAGAGAAGCCACAGAGAAATTGTTTTATTCGTTAGAACTATGGTTTAGTAGAAAGAAAAAAACTAGATAATTCGACACCATCCTAGCATTATAGTACAACTGAATAATTCGATACAGACAAAGACCAACAATATAGTTTTATAGAATTTCTTATTCTTCACTAACTAAGTACCCAATCATAAAGAAACTTAAACAACAAATTATGTATGGTCTTGTGAATCGATCATTAAGAAAGGGAGTTTTTTTCTAGCGTGAAATAATTTTGAATTCTTGCTTGAAGTTTAAATATTCCTTATATTTAACTAATATTCTGTTGGAATTCTTTCAGAATAAAGCATTACCGACCATTAAAAATGGTTATAAATGATATTTCTCATGATTCTTGTGAGGAAAGAAAAAATACACCATATTATATGTTAGTCTCAAATAAATCTTAACAATCACGAGTGTGTTATGATATATAATCAAAGATGGTTGTAAATTCTGACCACATAACAACTGTCAAATATCAATACAAAATTTCAATTTTTGTTTTGCTATCTATCATCTATCTGTAAGGCAACAACAACGTGTGAATTCAATTAGTAAAAAAAAAGTTTTGCACAAATGTGACGAAAAATTTACTACATTTTTAAACATTTTCATCCATTTAAACTTTTATTGTTGTACGTTTTAAAGTGAGACTAAGGGATTATAATATGATACAGTCTTGTGTGCCTAATAGTCATTGTTCTTGTAAAGTGTAATAAAGTTGAATATTTCCGTTCTAGTCATTTCATATTTAAATGTTACAGGTTTTATATTTTATGTTTTCTACTTTGTATACTTAATTTTTATTGTCTAAATCTTTCAATCTTGTTTCCACTTAACACATTATGCTGTCAGTAAAGGGTTGTAAAAACTGTTGAGTTTTCACATGAATTAATTGATGTTAGACCACCATTGAAAAACTGGAAGCATTAGTGACTAGCTTCGAGAGGTAATTCTCGGAGGCCATAACCATTGGAGCTCATCTGTGTCGGGTAGAGACAGGTATCTACCTCAGTACAGTGGAAGATGGTAGCTGCGAGGCCGCCAAGCCCCCACATGCACTGGTACGGTCGAGAGTGGTGAGACTCCACTCTTTCAAAATGCTCTCACATGGCCACGCGTATACAACCACTACCAGGGAAGTCCTAATCACTACCTTCTTGCGGCATTACTGTTGTTTACGAAATTGAGAGGACGAAAAGCGAATTTCCGGCGCTTTAGCCGGGTTCGTGGACACGAAGAGTCTACCTAGCGGAGTTGGAAGTACCTGATTCCAAACCAGTGGGCTCCAGTATCCTGAAGGAACAAATGGCGTATGGACTTGTCGTCACCAGCTACCATGGGACTGCATATCCTGATGTTGCTCCACTGCCTTGTGGATCAGATCTTTAGGTCGAAGGCTCCGGGTGTAGTCCCTTAAGAAAACCACCTGCTTCAGTTCGGGCACCCGAGCAATATTCTAGCCGTCACATAAGTCGAATGATTTATGTGGTGCATATGTATTTGGTGCCTCTTTGTACCAGTTTTTATGTGTTTAAATAAATAAATAAAGATGGTCGCGCAATGTTGTGGATTGATTGAAGTTAAACGTCAACACCGTTGGATGCTGATTCAGTGGTCTACAGGGTAATCGTTGGTTTGGAAGACCGAAGTTCCTGGGATCGAATCCCGCGTGCGAGATCGTGGGTGTGCACTGTTGAGTAGTCCCATACTATGACGAAACGACCGTTCAATGTTTCCAGGCTTTCAATGATGGTCTGGCATTGATCGGTTTATGATATCAATACTATACTGTCGTTTTGTTTGAAACATTAAGACATATGTTTTTTTTCTATATGCGACGATTGTAATACACTAATTTTAACTCTATTTATTATTTCTGATTTATTTTTACCTTTTTTGAATCGAAAACATTGACATCACTGGAAACCAGAGTGAACTGAACGATCATTGGTAATAAGTATGACTACCTAATGACTAATTTAATGAAAATTTAATAGTCATATGCTGATTAGTGTTTAGCTTAAAAATAGATTGCTCAAAGTTTATATTGGAATCTATAACGTATGAAGTAAATAATATCTAGTGGTTATCATAGTGCTTCAGCTATGATTTTGAATTAGGTTTACAGTTGTATAATGAACTTACGCTGTGGAATAATTCCTAACTAGCCAATGAATTCTGATTGTTTCTTCAAATGATGTATTGATTTACAGTAAAAAAGTGCAAATGGTAATAAGTATTAAGTTGAATACGGGAATTTGTGGAGATCGTAGTATTTTCAGAGTAGAATTCACGAGTCGATCTAAGCTAGACCATCATTGATAAGGTGGAAGCCGTTTCGTCCTAGCATGGGACTCATCAGCTATTCAATTTGAACAATTTAAAAAACAACAATAATAATAGCTAATTTGAAGAATTCCATAGTTTATTCATTTATATAAATTGAACTAACTATATTCATTTCACCATCGAATATACTTCTTCTTGATCAGTCGTTAAACAATTTAATTCATGTTTCGGTCAGTGATTTATGAAATTTATCATTTGAATTCCCACCAATACCCTACTATAGTTTATACAGTTTTTGTTCCAAGAGTTTCATTGTAGTCTTATTTATTTCATATTGATTATATTAAAGTATTTAATTTGTTCTAATCAAGTGTAGTTTGTTATTTCAATCAGTTCAGTAGCGTATTGTTCATTAATATAAATTCTAGTAGTGAATGACATAATTAAGTGTATCATCTCTACCTCTACTATTCAGAATTTTTCAAATTCACCACCATCTATTAATGTTTCTAACCATTTTATTATTTTAAAACTAACGACAGATTCAATGTTACGTCTTTCTTTCTTTCTATCGATTGATCCAACTGTTTATCTATTCATCAAGGCAACTATGGTTTGTCAATAATTTATTGCGTTGTAAAAGAATAAATATGAACATAAATAAATAAATTGCACTTCTATGTTCTTAACACTGAATAATTTATTATTATTATTATTCAATGCAAAACTGTCTATTCCTTGATGCAAAAGCGACGATCATTATCGTTGTCTGGATCCGAATTTTGTTTCTTAAAAAAAACACAATATCACCGTCTCGAACCTATGGACAAAGTAATGAAAGTAGTACCAGTAGTATGATATATATATGTTTATATATATTCAGTCTATTCTAATAATCTGTTCTTTGTACCTATTAATATCCTTACTATTTTCTATTTATAAAATTCAATATTTTGGTTTTGTCAAACATATGTATATTGTGAGGCAAACGGCATTTTACGGAGTTGAATATTTCCTGTGAGATCCAAAAGGAAATGGTTATTAACCTTTTCTTGCGTCGGTCGACATGCACCTCGTATTAGTTATGTGTTTATGTGTGCATCATGTAAAAAGTTTACAAACCTATCTGTTTCATGAT